TCACTGAAATTTTGTCTGCTATTTAGAGGTGTGGTTTCACTGTATAGTGTAAATGTAATATATTTAGATATATACCTATGTAAATTTTTTCTTTTCGTTCTTGGAAGAAACGTATGTGCATGGTTTTGCGATGGTTTGGTATTTATTTTATTTTTTTAAATATATCCGATTGCGTATTTTTAGAGTTTAGGATTAAAGAGTGCCAAACATATTCAACAAGCATTTACCATGGTATATACCTAGACCAAATTGGTGTATATTTTTTATTTTTTTTTATTTTACATTAAACTGCTGTTAAGCTAAGAATTATGAAGTTTTTAAGTAAATCTAATTTTGACACATACTTTTTAATACCTAGTCAAAAACTCGCAGGATACCTTAAATTTTCAAAATAACAATTTTATATTTTTGTGTATGGATGAGGTCCTTATAAATGTTTTTTCATCAATACAAATTAGCTTAAACAATTCTGTCAGTTGTAAACTATGTTTTATTATTTTAACAAATTTTAGATCTTTTAGAATGTTTTTTTTATATCTTTGTATTTATAATTCTTTAATACTTATGCAAATATAGAAAAATCCACATAAAAAAAAATTACGACAAAATAGGTTTTAATAACCATTATAATATTATATAGGTATTCTTAAATCATTAACTAAGATGCAAGCACAACAAAGATCAAATGATTTTTTTTCCCAAAAAAAATCACAACTCACGTCCGGTGTTCGGAAAACTAGGCTTCTGGAGATGTGTGAAAACGTGACAGTAATAAATAAAAAATAAAAAAATATTTGTCATGGATCATCAGTCACATCCTAGTCATCACGTCCGACAACCAAACAGGACAAGGAGAAGAAAAAGCAATTGAAACAATGAACCAATCAAGGAACCACACCAGATTGTCTGTTTTCGGCTTATTTTAAATAAGTTGAAGATTTTTAAATAACAACAATGCTTTTTCAGCTATATCCCGTATATAGGTATCCACTATCCTGTATTCATTTATGACTATAATATAGGCATGAATATAAATTATTAGGCTTATATATTATGCGTATATATATTTACGAGAGTTTAGAAATGATCCAATGGACAATATTTAAATTTGAAGTGAACACAGTTGACACAATTCTGATATAGAATTTAGGTACCTATTTTCTAAATAAATAAATATTTTAAATCCATGAAGGTATCTATGTTATATACCTGCGTGTACCTTTATTGTATAGTAAGTATGCAAATAAATATACAATTTTTTCAGAAACTATCTTCTCACAGTTCTCAGGAGTCAGGATGTTATTATATACATAAGGCAAACAGACTGATCAACAATAAACTAAAACTATGTACATCGGTTTTATGATTATTGGACAACTAAACTGTTTAACTGTTTGTGGTGGGTCTGGAAATAATTTCAATAATAAGTATATAAGTATTTTTATAATTATCATATTATTTTAATCTTACATTTTGTAAACCTGATTATTATGAAAACATTTGATTGTTTTTTTCATTATACGCTAGTCATATACGTGTATACACGATAATCAGTCCGGATTTCGTTGACCACATTTTTAAAGTTTATCGATTACAGATTAAAATACTGCTAACCCGTTCGTTTCATCTCTTATAAATACAATTAATGATCACTCGTCGATGATTTTGAATTTCTGGCTGTTTTCTGGTACACTGACCAGTAACCGTAAAGTGCGGTGTAAACATTTGTTTCCTTCGATGATGTAAAAACCCGTTAATTTGCATGTTTTGTTCACCCATATAGATGAATACTAAATAATAGATATATATACACTCTCTCGACATAATTAAAAGTATGCTAATAGAAATTAAATGGGTTTTATCATTCGAAAGACGCACCTCTAGGATCCGGTAGCTTATTCACGATTGGGTTCAATTGGGCAGGGTCAATAGTTATTAAGGTTATGTATATATAATATCTATCTATACATATATACACCTATAATAGCCCGTATTCCTCTTATAATACTATCATAATATCTATTCTGCGCGTTGACGACACAAGTGTAGTTGCTCACACGAATTATTTTATAGTTACAATAATAATAATAATTATTATTATTACGGTGTAAATCTAAACTATCGCGGACCGGAGATAATCACCGTATATGGGAAGTTGATGGAACTCTCTATTAACGATTAACCCCTCCCGCTTGTACCTATATATTGTCCATATAATATAGGGGTAACTGTAGCCAGCTGATCGGTATGTCTACTTTGTATCATGAATTACAAATTACAATATAAGCAGCGTGTACCTCTATATATAGCCTCTATCGCGGTATCTTTCATTTCTAACGTACCTAGTCCTTATACATATTAATATTACGGACGAGGAGAAAACACGCAAGACTATGTAGTTTTTTCTCTCTTAGTGTTATTATATAGGTCAAACACAGTTTATAGTTTTAAAGGCTATAGGCAGAATAGACTAAAGAAAATAAATAAATTTAAAATTTGACACTATCAAATAGCATATCATATATATACTATATAGTATAAACAATACATTTTTAACGTGTTTGGATTATGATGCATTTTTTAAAAAATAAGCCAAAGTAGTACCTAGATATTATGATGTTCTATGTATTGTGTCAAAATAACACAACGTTTGGAACGTTTTTCTTTGCCTAGAAAATCGCATAATATATTTGTTGCATGTGGTTAGCAATGGCTCCGGGATAGTCTGAGTACAGCGTTTTTGGAGAACGACTCATTGACGTTTTTCTGTCTGTATGTAGAAAAACTTGTACTTACCGCATTGTTGATAAGTTTTTTTTTAATTTTTTTTTATTTTAAATTATATATTATATATTAAATAAATATTTTCTTTATGGTTTTATTTTCATATCGTGTTATGTAGGCGCACTTGTGTATCGTAAGTACATTTAAACATCGTTATTTTTTTAAAACAGTAAATACTATATTTTCCACGAGAAAATTAGGTGGTTATGTACACGAATTCGACACGTCACTTTACGTGGTTTGGTTAGTCGATAGACTGCCGGCTACTCCTCATTAAACAGGTATATAATATACTACAAAGTACAAACTGTACCCAAGTAAGCCTGCAGCAATTACACTCAAATATAGATACGAGTATATACCATTATAGCCAAAGCATGTATTATAGCCTTATAGGTACAGATCGGTAGCATCGGTACGACCGTCTCGCCAGCACCACCCATTCATAATTTTTTATTTTTTTTTTTTTACAGGGAATTAGCACGTGATTAACATGGATTTGCACGACAAACCCCGAAATTGGCACTCGTCTGGCGTCAACCCGTTCGAATATTTCGCCAAATGGCAGGTACGTCTTGCAATCAAGCAGGAACTTCTCGATACCATAATATGATTATTTACTTCGTAATAAATTACGTATAATGTATATTGTAAAAAAGATAAACATTTTTGTTCAAAATTGTATTAAACTTTATTATTGTGGACACCACCTTGATATAGGTAAAATCAGTAGTGAGATAAAAATGTCATAACATTTTTAATAAAATTTTTACAAACATTTAATAGTTAAAAATATAAAAAATAAATATATTTTTAAAAAAAATGGTTAGATAATTTATATAATATACTATTATACAAAATAAATTAAAGATTTCTATTGTTTTTTAAACTTAATCTATTATTAATTTTCAATATTAGTATTTTATTTTATGATATTTATTTTTAAGTCAAGAAAAATGAGATGTGTAAGTTCCTAGTTCCTACACGATAAAAAAAAGTTTTGTATGCTAGATTTTATAATCATAATTTAATATTTATTTGTGACAATGCGTTGTACGATTTTTATTATATTTTATAAGTTATAACCAAAATACGTTTATTTAATTATGAATGTGTATTGTGTATCATATGTGATTTTTCTTATTTTTTTTTCTTATGAGATAATAATCAGTATGAGAACATTTAATATATAAATTAATATAGTTTTAACTGTGTAAGAATTTATATATATACAATTTTTCCGCCGTGTATAGGAACTAACATACGTACCTACCTGCTTTTTACCGTGTAGGAACTTATATATTATGTAACTTTTAATATCGTGTAGGAGCTGACATTCTTATTTTATTTACCTGGTAGGTCTCGTGTAGGAACTTACATTCACCCGATAATTCATAATATGCTAACCGTGTACTGAATTTCGACTTAACAATTTACGCGGTGCTGGCGAGACGCACAAAATATTCGAACGGGTTTTTCTCGCGAACCAGCCGCGTGCCAATTTCGGGGTATGCCGTGCAAATTCATGCTAATCACATGCTAATTCCCTGTAAAAAAAAAATAAAATTTTATGAATGGGTGGTGCTGGCGAGACGGTCGTAGCATCGGTGGATAGTTAAGACTGCAATGTCACGTGTACCGCGGCAGTGTGGCCAGTACTGGCACTTAAGTGTAAGAAGTGGTCAAATATACCTGTGTCGTTCAATACAATAAATAATAATTGCATATATAGTACGCACACTTGTCGAATAACGGGCTTCACTGGAACACTTTTAGTGCAGCGAAAAAAAGCAAATAATACTCGTACCTATATATTATATTGTATACCTATATATTAGAATGTATAGTATCTATATCGCGTACATGTATGTAGTGTAAATGTGTAATGCATAAATACGGTACCTACGCACAATATTATTAATATATATAATCGACGACCAAGGGGGGCGTCGAGCAACAGTGCGGTACTGAAATAGTGGCGGGGGTAGGGGAGCAAGAGAGCTTTCCACTGTACGCTCCTGATGGTCGGTATAGTCGTTTGCGATCCCGTCCGGCGAACAGTCTTGCACAGTGCTCCGAAGTGTTGTCTATCCTCAACATTAATTATTATTGTCCAAAATTTCTGAAATAAAACACTTTTTTTTTACGTTCTCCAGGAACGTTATAGTATACCGTCTGGTCTTATCATTTCTATTAATCCATCACCATATACAATAATGATCCGTTGTCAGATGTACGCGATGGTTGTCTTCGCATTCGGGTGTCTCGTCTTGTTACCGGACCACAGTAAGTCGCTAATTTGATCACGATAAACAATCTGTCGTCCGGCTGCAGTTGGCCATAATATTACCTATAAATATTTATCGTTTCGACCGTGTTGTACACAGGCAAAGCGATCAACTGTTGGGTGTGCTCCACGGACACGGACCAACGTTGCAACGACCCGATGAACATGACCAAAGGTGCAATCGAGGACTGTAGCAGAGCACCGCATTCGGCTTTCTTACAGCCCGTGTGCAAGAAACAAAAACAAAGAGGTACGCTTCCACATACGATAATGTATACCTACTATACGGGATTTGTGTAGACATAAGCACGCTATAGATAGCGCATTGGTGTTTTCATAGAGCGTGGTGGACAATAATTAAACTATAAAATCAGGTCACTCCGGCAATAATGAGTAAAGGTCTCATACTCGGACGTAATTCAATCCAATTCGATTTCACATACTCGCTTCGCGGCACTATTGTTTGGTCCTACACACACAATGTATAAAACAATAATTTAAATAGCTGGTTTTGAGTTTTGACTGGTATATTATGTAGTAGGTACCTGTATATTATATTCTCTTGAGTCTATGCAACTTTGTACAACATGAATATCTCAATATTTCTAATAATTTGTGTACTTTATACTGCGTGATACATTTATTTTTAATCTTCATGATTTAATTGAATTGTTTTTTTCTAGTACAGTATTTTTAATAGAATGAATAGTATGATTTTACTATTTTTATATTATATGTATGTAACCCCTCAAATCTAAAAGTAAATAATTAACAAAAAAAAATAATAAATACTTTTCTTGGTGGGAAATTGTAGATACGATACAATGTGAATTGGAATACAAATATTAAATCGGTGTGTTTGTTTGTATAATGTTACATTATTTAGAGAAACCTATTTTAAAGTTTTAAACATTAGTATGGTTTATTGAATTAAATAGGTATTATTCGACGTCCTTTCTGTAACCTCGCGTCTCTAATAAAATATAAAATATATGTGGAATAAAATAAAATAAATAATGGACGGTATATTGTCATACGAAATTTCAACACCATATTTTACCTATTTGCATTTATTTTAAGTACGGAAAAATGTTATATTCTGAAAAAGATGATGTGATTTGAAGTATACTATAACCATAGGTTAGAACAGCAGCTCATATCATACATATTATAATACAACACGAATATTTACATTTAAAAAAAAAACACATTTTCTAAATTACTTACTTATACATTTTAGGGAGTTTAAAATAATTAAATATCCAACTATATTTGTGTTTTACAGGCGTACTTTAGAGTTAAACAACGACAATACAAAAAAAAATACAATATAAATTATGTTTGAAATAATCACGATATATTATTATTATAATATGATTAAAACTGAACTAAAACATAACTATATGTATAGTAGAAATCGATAGTTGTTTTCAGTGACATATCCAATATAGTTCATCCCGACTTGTATTACATTACATATTATCGATAATTTGATAATGACGTATATATAGGTACCAATTAAATTGATCAAAGGTATAGGCTGTTTAAATAACCAAAATGTACTGTACCTAGGTACTTAGATGTATCAGATTTATATAATATATATATACGTGTATAGTGTATACTCTTATGAGTTATGTTCGTACTATTATAGCTTCAGCTTTCAAGCCTATAATAATTATCAATCAATAATTATATAATAAGTCTTAATTAACTATTGTTTTTTTTTTTATCTACATACAGAATTAACCAAATTGTGACACTGACGTTTAAATTCTTTAAATTAATGGATATATGAGATGGCCTATGCGTATTGGGGTGTTTTTTCATCTTCATTATGGTACCTCGTGTTTTCGATGATTGAATTAAGACACAATGGACTGCATTTAATTGCCTGCTTAATTTTTATTAACCTTTTGGCCATTCTTGTAAGGAACGATGATTCACCGGAAATTCGTATTTGTCAGCCCGCCCGCAATGTTTTAATTGATATTTACATTTTCAATGGAAATTTTGAGATAATAGTTGTTTTGTTTAACTAAAATAACAGTTTTTACCGTTTTTACGAATCACTCGATTAAATACAAATTCTGGGCTTGTTTACCGGAAATTGTTTTTACGTAGGTATTTGTTATATACTACGTTATACAAATACAATTATATATGGTGTATTTACATTTTTCGGTAATGATGGAATCCGGGAGACGAAAAAACAATCGACAGGTGTGTAGTACGTACGTCGTATATACAGCTATACTGTACTATTCTAATAGAAAAAATAAACATAGAGATCGCAATCCAAACAGAATGGAGATTCTGGTCCTCACTCCTCAGAGGTTTCACTCTCGAGTTTCAGGGGACATAAACCTTATTCTATTGTAACGTGATAGTATAATTGTATAGTGTCGTTAGCAATTTCATTAAATTAATTATTAACATATTATTTTGACCGATAACTTATACAGGAATAGTATAACTGTATAAGTTATATTGACTGTTTAGTGTTTACTATTTAGTATTTACTATAATATAAAATTTGATTAGCATACATTTACAATAGTGCCTTAATAATCAAATATAATATGTGTTATTGGTTATTTTATTATAGAAAAAAAAATGTAGGTATTTCCTATCATGGTCAATATGTATTTGTGAATAAATGGTGTAGGTTTTGTAAATTGAGTAAATTATACAGATTATAGGCTAAATTCAAAGTGGGGACGACCCGACTACTTGTTTTTCAAGTGTGTAGGTATAAACTAAGAAATAAAAAAAAAACTTCTTTTCCAAATAAATATAAAATATTTTTAGTTCTAGGATTACCTATAATATGGGCAAAACAAGACCGAATTAATATAAATAAAAGCTCAATAGCCATCAAAAACATATAACCAACCATGCAATAAACATATTATTATGTTTTAAAGCATTATTAACATTGGTAAAAAATTTGGAAGATCGCTGTATAAAGGAGAATAAAGAATATTGAGCAAAATTGTATTTATTTTTAAAATACATGATAACTATTAACTTATTATTATTTTTGTAATACATATAAATTAGTAATTACAAATAATTAATTAATTTCATATAAAACATTTATAAATATGCAATACTGTAATAAATATTACAACAATATTTAATCATTACTTCCTTCTAAGGCGTTGATATAATTTTCATAAATAAATAATTTATAAAAAAAAATGTATATGAAAAATAATAACAGTTTGGAAGTTCATTAATTGTTTATTTATGCATATATAAATTCCTTAGAAGTAATGATTCAATATTGCTGCAATATTTTTTACAGTATTATATATTCATATTTGAATTAAGTATATGCAATTAATTTATTATTTGTAATTTACGCATTACAAAAATAATAACTAGTTATTCATGTGTTTTAAAAATAAACACAATTTTGAGCAATATTCTTTATTCGCCATAATAAAGCGATATTCCAAATGTTATAACCAATGTTAATATTTTAATAATGCCTTAAAAAATATAATAATATGTTTATTTCATGGTTGGTTTAGGTTTGAGATGGCTATTGAGCTTTTATTTATATTAAGGACTAAGGAGGTCTCGTTTTTTCCAAAATATAGGTAATCGTAGGGCTAAAAATATTTCATTTTTATTTGGAAAAGAAGTTTTTTTTTTTTTAATTTCCTAAAGGAAACAAATATTCATAGTTGGTACTTACATACTAAAAAAATTAGTAAATAAGTATTCCCAATTTGAATTTAGCCTATAATATGTATAATTTACTTTATTTATTTTACAAAACGTACACCATTTATGCACAAATACATACTGACCATGATAGGAAATAGGTACCTACATTTTTTTCTATAATATAATAGCCAATAATACATTAATACATATTATATTTTATTGTGAAAATTGAAAAGGCCCTATTGTGAATGTGTGTTAATCAAATTTAATATTATAGTAAATAGAAAACGGTCAGTATAACTTATACTATTCCTATAAATAGTAATCTGTCAAAATAATATGTTAATAATGAATATAATTAAATTGTTAACGACATTATACATTTATACTACCACGTTACGATGAAATACAGTTTATGTTTAATAAATATTGCGGCATTATTGAATCATTACTTCTAAGGCGTTTATATTATATGCATTAATAAATAATAAATAATATAAAAAATTATACAATTTTTGGAGTTGAACGATTTAGAGTTATTACTTATTAGTGTTTTTGATTGCATATAATTACCAAAATCATATTATTAAGTACCTAGGCAATGAGTTATAGAAATAAATCAGTGTTTGTAACAAAAAATCAAAACACTGAAAATGTAATTTAAATTAGGTTATCATTCATTGCAGTTAAAACTTAGGTATTATAGTCTATTTTTCGCTGATATACGATTGAGTACGATATCATCTCTACTTGACCCTTAAATTAAATCTTCACGATTGCATACGAAAACGAGTGCTGCGTACCAATGTTTCCAACATGTACCTACTATTTAATACAATATTTTTAATATTTATAATGAATACAATTATAAACATACTACATAGTACATTTTGTGTTAATACGTTAAGTAAAAACTGTGATAATAATTATTAATTGAAATATTTTACACATACTGCAATGAAATTCAATACAATCTATAGCTATAGCCTATAGACTATAGTAAACTAAAAAATATATATATTATAAAAATTGTGATGATAATATATATTAATCATAATAACATAATTTTAATTCTATAGAAAAATATAATATAACGATTCTGCAGCCCGACACATCAGGATATCCGCGATTAATATTCGACATCTTTATACTCTTATCAAAACGAATTGGGTTGGAAATAATTGTCATAATGACGTTTATCAACCTATCAAACCATCATAACAATAATGATCAATGTTCATTATAAAATTCATTGTTATACAAAAATTGAAAAATATTTTGACTTTCTTTAAGCTATTTAAAAACATTTAACATTTTCGATATTTGTTTCTTTAAATTTCGATAAAAAATTATTTTAAAACTTTGAAAATGTAATACAAGTTTATTATATTATGCCATTTAAAACATATTGAAAGTACATAGTCACAGTATCTTTTTATAAGCCTTTAAACTTAGAACTATGACGAAAATCCTCAAAATTAGAATAATTTGCAAATTATTTTGTAGGTATTTAATTAAAAGTTATTCATAAACCTTTTTCTTTTCACGTATTATATTTAAAAATTTAATACA